GCCGCTCCCCGGGGACGGGCCCCCCTCCCGGCCGCGCTTTCGCACTGGAGAGGCCCCACACCCAGAAACACCCGCAGGGACCTGGCCTCCCCACCCTCCTCCTCACCGCCAAGGTGCCATTTACGCGCAGGGACCGCCCTCGGTGCGCCCGCACCAGGCCCTGCTTTCGTTAGCTCTCCGCTCCCCACCCACCCACAGTGACCCCGGAGAGTTCTCCCAGCCGCAGCCGGCCCCAGGTCCTGGGAGGCTGCTGGGCGGCTTTCGTTAGAGAGGGGCCAGGCTTGGGCCCACAGGAGGCCCAGGCTGTAGCCGTAAGCCCTGCCAGCCGACCCTGGCACCCAGGAGTGGTTCATCAGGTTCCCTGAGGCCTGTTTCTTTATGCTGGAGACCCCGCAGCTCCTGCCCCTGAGTTAGCCGGTATCCAGCAGGCCAGCCCTTCAAAGTCCAAATTTGTTTACTCCGGGTCATTCTGACCTCCCTGCGGCGGGTAGGTTATCTCCTCCTTAGGTAGACCTTTGTGTACAGCTGGTTCTCCTGCTCGCCAGATGTCCCTTTGGTGACCGCAGTTAGAGAACCACATATGTTCAGGAAACGCCCGACTCGGACCTGGGAGGTTCGAAACCTCCCACTGCTTCGCCGGGGCTGGCATCCCCGGCAGCCCTGCTCTGGAGAGATGATGATGTCGGGGTCTTTGTCTTTTGCGTTCCGCTCGCCCCTTCTCGGCTGAACGCTACGGAAATCTTCTTCTTGAAACCTCTCAGAATATGCATTTGTCGTTTTAGGAGAATGTGTTTACCGGGCAGTCCAAGATCTACACCTACATGAGCCCGAACAAATGCTCTGGAATACGTTCCCCTCTTCAGGAAGAGAACTCGGTTGTACATCACGAAGTCAAATGCCAGGGGAAGCCATTAGCCGGGATCTACAGGAAACGGGAAGGTGAGCTGCCGAGATGGCCCTGGCTCCGACCGCAGCTGGTCGGGCTGCCGAAGCCTCTCTCCTCCGTAATTATGCATCTATATTATATTAAGTTTCTACCCAGCCTTTTCACACCCAAGTGCCGAAGGAACCATGTTTTTCTATCTTGCTGCTGAGAAAGGCAGACACAGGAAAGAGCTGCCCATCCCCGGGTGTGTGCCCTGTCGGTCCGACAGGTTCTCCCGCTTTCACGGGAGTTGGCATGCCCTCCAAGCTTGATTATCTTGCCGTATGACAGAAATAACGCACCTGACTTGCAGTTAAAAAGGCTCACAGGTGCAAGAAGTGTCGAAGGTACGAGTCTAGTTTGCACAGACCAGGCGCCTGCAGTCCTGGCTGTTGTGTGAATGCCGGGACCTGACTTCCCTTTTTATGAGCTGGCCTTGACCTCATTTCTAAAGTTTCTTTCCACTCGAGTGTTCAGAGCTGCTCTCCCAAGCAGCATAATCTGCAGTGAGTTTAAATATTGAACAAGAAAATGTACGGTTATTGAAAATTCTGTCTGGCCCCGCAAAAGAAGCCGAAAATTCATGGAAGTCTTGCTCTGACCCAAATATTCCCTTTCCATGCGGCATGGGGGAGCGTGGGCTCTTCTATTAAACACTGCCTTCAAGAGGCGCAACCCTGACCACCGGCAGCTCCGTACAAGGAGGCCTTGTATTATTAACAAAAAGTACCAGAAATGATGGGTTAGCCCAGCCTCTGGGACCAGAGCTGAGAACCAGGGGCAGGAGCCAGCCGCAGCTTGATTTGCCCCAGTGCACAGGGCGATACTGTTTTGTTGGTCTTCAGAAGACTTGGGTTCTAACCCTGGCTCTGCCACTTACGTGGAGGTGGCTTGGGCAGGTGGCTCCTCTTTTCTAAACCTCAGTTTTCCCATCTGTAACGTGGGAGAACGTGGCTACTCTGAAGACCAGTTAATGCCTGGATGCCAAAGGGCTTTGTGAAACGCTCCCCCTGGCAGCCCTTCCTCTGCTGGGCTTCCAGTGTCCCAGCCTGTGCGTAGCCGGCAGCTGGTACCGGTAGCACCTGCCTCGTAGGGACTGTGGGAGGGGCTCTCTGAATGTGGTCAGCCTCTCTCGAGTCCCTTCTGGGATGGGGCGGAATGTAAATGGTCCTCAGTGGTGACATGGTGCACCGGTGAGCTTGTTTGGCTCATAGTGTTACTAAATGGCAACGAATAGAACGTTGGGCCAAATTTGGAGGAGACCCCAAGGGCCAGTCTCTCATCCTTGATACTCAGCCTTTTTTCCGCCTTGATGTGACAGCTGATGTTCACGGGCACCACACGCACCTAGGGTCGTGCACGATGCCCTGGCCTTAACTCCCTCTGGGTCCACTCAACACAGCGTGTCAGGGAGCGAGGACCGTCTGGAGGGGTCTTGAGGGGGTTATTTTTCATCACTCCCAAAGAAACCCAGTGTTAGCAGTCACACCCCATTCCTCACCTCCTCCAGCCCCAGGCACCTGCCAGTCTACTTTCTGTATCTGTGGATCTGCCTGTTCTGGACACAACCTGTAAATGGAACCCTACAGTACGCCTGGTCTCTTTCACTCAGCATCACGTCCTAGAATGGGTCAGAACTTAATTCTTTTTTGTGACTAAATAATATTCCATCCTGTGGCCAGACCACATTTTATTTACCCATCCATCAACTGATGGGCGTTGGGGTTGTTCCCGCTTGGCGGCTATTAGGAATAAGCTGCTTTAAACCTTCACGCACAGGTGTCTATGTAGACACGCAATTTTAATTCTCTTTACAGATGCTTAGGAGTGGAATTGCAGGGTCAGATGGTGACTCTAATGTTTAACTTTTTGAAGAACCATCAGATTCTTTTCCAAAGTGACTGCCCCATTTTATGTTCCTGCTAACCACGTATTATTTACTTATTATTTACTTATTTTTAAAAAGTAAATAATTTTTAAAAACGTGGCTAGTCCACCAGCACTGGGACTCCAGGGCTGTTTTAGTAACAAATCATTTTCAACGTTCCTCCCTTGCAATGTCCTGACCAATGTCCAGGCACCAGGCTGAGAACTACTGTGGATGCTGGGCTTCGGCCCCTTCAAAGGCGGGGACTCTGAAACGCAGCAGGCGGCTCCTGGGGATGAGGCCCCGCGTCACGCCCGTTCCTGTGCGCCAACGCTGGCCTGCTCTTTAGGAACTTAGCTTTTTCCTGGGGTCTGCAGCCCGGTTCCTGGGAGCTGTTGCTCGGGTGCTCATGCCAGGGTTGCTGTCTGCTGCTTCTGCCTCAGGGTCTCTCCCTCATGTAGGTGCAGAAGGCCAGGTGTGTTAATGACCTAGGTCCTGTCACAGTGTATATGACAGCAAATCACCACCAGGTCCCCTTAAATATCTTGCAAGCCATTCTGTCAATTATCTTATTTTAAAATATATATATATATAGATTGATTTTAGAGAGAGGAAGTGGAGGAAAGAGAGAGAAACATCGATTTGCTCTTCCACTTATTTATGCATCATTGGTTGACCCATATATGTGCCCCGACTGGGGATCAAACCCACAACCTTGGCTCATCGTGACAACCTTCTAACCAACTGAGCTACCCGGCCAGAGCAGTCAGTTATGTCTTAAAAAAGCTGGACAAAAATGCAGAAGACCAAAAGCTCTGCCTAGTGTCTGGGTCACAAACTAAAGCCAGATGACTCTCCCCTGGTAGCCAGTCGTTGGTGGACACCGGGCTTACCAGGCGAGGGCACCGCTGCCCCCCCACCCGTGACCCCCATCTTCTCTGAGAACCTGTCTTGGATTGCCGCTGACAGTCTAGAGACTGGGAGACAGCACCTAGAATAAACCTCCTTCTCCAACCTCTGCCTGCAGAGAAAAGAAACACTGGGAACGCAATACGAGGCAGCATGAAGGCCGAGGAACTAAAGATCAAAGACGCCAGGAGGGGCCCCCTGGCACCTTTTCCAAACCAAAAACCCGAAGCAGCAGAACCTCCAAAAACTCCGACCTCGTCTTGTGACTCCCCCGGTGCAGCCATCGCCAAGCCGGCCCTGAAGAAGGCAGTCAAGGGCAAGCAGGCGCCTCGGAAAAAGTAAGTGCCTCCCGGCGCCCCCGGCGCACGGCGTTTGGTTTCTCTGGCCCCGGCGGAGCTGGTTAGGGTCGGGCAGGCCACCCTCCCAGGCTCTCTCCCACTGAGGCTCACACCCCTGGAGTCACCCCCGGGGACACCATCATTTGCCAGCATCTCAGTCTGGCACGTGTCTTGAGCTCGGGGGCCCTCCCCTCCCCACGCCTCCCCTCCAAGAGGGGCAGCCGGCCTCCGGCGCCACAGGCTGCCCTGTGCACAGGTGTTCGGTGACCTCGTTTCTGGGGACCCACCCCGCAGGAGTTGTGTGCCTCCTGGGTTCGAGTGTGGTTTTCTCTTCTTCCCTCCCCCTCACCCCAGAGCTCAAGGAAAAACGCAACAGAATCGCAAACTCACGGATTTCTACCCTGTGCGGAGGAGCTCGAGGAAGAGCAAGGCTGAGCTGCAGGTAGAGTCCTGTGGTTTTCATTCCAGCCTTCGGAGGGGCCGGGCAGTTCAGTGGGCAGTTCCAGTGCTCGGCACGCGAACCCGGGCTTACTTTGTGTCACCCTGGGGCCTTGGTGTTCCCCTTGGTCTAGCGGGGATTATCGCAACGCTCAGGGTCACCGTGCAGTTTGGTTAGGGTGCCTCTGGGAAGGAGCGTTGGAACATGTAGCATGTGGCAGGGAGAGTCAGGCGCTATCCCAAAGGCAGCTTTTCCAGGGCTTGTTGGCGGGGCCGTTGGAGCCTGGGACGTGGGGAAGGCCGTGTGTCCTTTCGGAGGCTGATCTCTCTGTTGTCCAGGTCCCATGTCGTGTCTCAAGGCTTAAAGAGCAGTGGCTTGGGAGCCCCTTACTGCTTGTCTCACCTCAGGCCAACAGCTTAACCACGCTGTGCCTTGGCTGCCCTATCTGTAAAATGGGGTAATGGAGTATCTTAGGGGTCACTGGGAGGATTAAAGAACTTAATGTACATAGAACACTTAGAACCGGGCCCGGCACACAGTAGGCGCTGTGTTCCCCGGCGTCCTCACTTCTCAAGGCTCCTCTCTGCTCTTTGCCACCCAGCCTTGGTCCTCGGGCACACGCGGAAAGCAGGCAGGAAGGCCAGCTGGACTGGGGGCCCCACCCGCTGTGTTTGCAGATGCTGCGTGTGCGGCTCAGTCAGTATTTGATGCAGCGGGCGTGGCTGCTGCCTTCCTCTAAGGACAGGCCTGCCGCCCACTGTGCTTCCCTCCACTCGGGTGTCTGGGCAGCCCCTCGGCTCCCCCACACCCCAAAGCCGCCTCCTGGCAGAGGGACAGTGCTCAGAGCTGCTGCCCCCACCGAGAGGTGGGGGCCCCCGGCTGCATCAGTCCCTGTCAGCATTTTTTGTTACATCTGTAGGTACAGGTACAGTAATCTAATGTTCTCTCCTCTGTTATTTTTCTTTGAATTGATAAGGNCTCCCACTGAGGCTCACACCCCTGGAGTCACCCCCGGGGACACCATCATTTGCCAGCATCTCAGTCTGGCACGTGTCTTGAGCTCGGGGGCCCTCCCCTCCCCACGCCTCCCCTCCAAGAGGGGCAGCCGGCCTCCGGCGCCACAGGCTGCCCTGTGCACAGGTGTTCGGTGACCTCGTTTCTGGGGACCCACCCCGCAGGAGTTGTGTGCCTCCTGGGTTCGAGTGTGGTTTTCTCTTCTTCCCTCCCCCTCACCCCAGAGCTCAAGGAAAAACGCAACAGAATCGCAAACTCACGGATTTCTACCCTGTGCGGAGGAGCTCGAGGAAGAGCAAGGCTGAGCTGCAGGTAGAGTCCTGTGGTTTTCATTCCAGCCTTCGGAGGGGCCGGGCAGTTCAGTGGGCAGTTCCAGTGCTCGGCACGCGAACCCGGGCTTACTTTGTGTCACCCTGGGGCCTTGGTGTTCCCCTTGGTCTAGCGGGGATTATCGCAACGCTCAGGGTCACCGTGCAGTTTGGTTAGGGTGCCTCTGGGAAGGAGCGTTGGAACATGTAGCATGTGGCAGGGAGAGTCAGGCGCTATCCCAAAGGCAGCTTTTCCAGGGCTTGTTGGCGGGGCCGTTGGAGCCTGGGACGTGGGGAAGGCCGTGTGTCCTTTCGGAGGCTGATCTCTCTGTTGTCCAGGTCCCATGTCGTGTCTCAAGGCTTAAAGAGCAGTGGCTTGGGAGCCCCTTACTGCTTGTCTCACCTCAGGCCAACAGCTTAACCACGCTGTGCCTTGGCTGCCCTATCTGTAAAATGGGGTAATGGAGTATCTTAGGGGTCACTGGGAGGATTAAAGAACTTAATGTACATAGAACACTTAGAACCGGGCCCGGCACACAGTAGGCGCTGTGTTCCCCGGCGTCCTCACTTCTCAAGGCTCCTCTCTGCTCTTTGCCACCCAGCCTTGGTCCTCGGGCACACGCGGAAAGCAGGCAGGAAGGCCAGCTGGACTGGGGGCCCCACCCGCTGTGTTTGCAGATGCTGCGTGTGCGGCTCAGTCAGTATTTGATGCAGCGGGCGTGGCTGCTGCCTTCCTCTAAGGACAGGCCTGCCGCCCACTGTGCTTCCCTCCACTCGGGTGTCTGGGCAGCCCCTCGGCTCCCCCACACCCCAAAGCCGCCTCCTGGCAGAGGGACAGTGCTCAGAGCTGCTGCCCCCACCGAGAGGTGGGGGCCCCCAGCTGCATCAGTCCCTGTCAGCATTTTTTGTTACATCTGTAGGTACAGGTACAGTAATCTAATGTTCTCTCCTCTGTTATTTTTCTTTGAATTGGTAAGGCTTCACTTAAAAGAAAAACAAAATAAGGGGTCGATTCATTTCCCCCCCCGAGAGCAGCTTTGGCTTGATTTTCTTACAAAGGCCATGTCTTAGGGCCAAGGAGGAGCTGTTGTAGTGTTTGCCTGCAGTGGGAGGCTGGGCTGGGCCCCTGTGAAAGACAGCATTGCAGAGGGCCAGGCGGTGCCAGGCCCGGAGCGCGCACCTCCCAGCCGCAGTCGGAGCTGCAGCGTGCCCACACAGGGAGGCCCTCGGGGCTGCAGGGTGGGGCAGCCGAGCTGGCCTTGTTAATAAAAAAATGGGCCTGTCTGTCTGGGCGACTGAAGGCTGCATGGGGACGTGGCATGGGTCCGCTAAGCCTGCAGCAGATGGGCGGAAGGGACTGGGCACTGGCTTCCCCAAAGCTAGGTCTGCAGCTCGGTCCACAGTCACTGGACTGAGAGCCATGCTGTGTCCCTCCTGTTTGCGTTGGCGCTGCTAAGGGAACACCGGGGCCAGGTGGTGGCTGGCCAGGCAGTGGGCCAGGTGTTGTCCTGCCCTTCTGGGCATCAGAACCCAGGGATCCGGCAGGTGAGCCATAAAGAAGGGTGTGGGGAGCCAGGGGTGAAACTGAAATTAAAAGCCTGGCAGCCACATCATTGAGTTTAGAGACAATGTGGGCAGGACCAGAGCCAGAGTCTCTAGGGTCCAGGGACAGAGTCCGGGGTCCAGGTCCAGGGTAAGAAGGTGTGAACTGGGCCTCCGAGAGATGCCCCAAACCGCTTGGGGTTCTTTGCTGCGGGCTCTTAGCTGGTTGGCCTGGCTGTGGGTGGGGTCACAGCCAGCACTGGGGCAGGGACTGCGCTGGTTGGCAGTGCCCTGGCTTCATGCCCAGCCCAGCCCTGGGCCTGCTGGGATGTCTCACTTCTGCCCCCTCCCAGTCAGTGTGCCTCTGGGATCCCTGTGGGCCTAGGCAGCCTCAAGCTGGTTGTTTGCATGCCCCAAACCACGGAGCCTCTGGAATGAAACCCAATCTCTTTGGCTCTGCATTTGGGGCATCAGGCTGGTTGGTCCCAGTTTTCCTCAGCTCGTCTCCTCCGTGCCACGTTCACCCACGGCAGGAAACTCCCCAATCGCCTGCCCCAGTTTTACTGCAGATACTCCCGCTGACTCAGCCCGCTGTACCTCTCTTCACTGGGCTGCTCACTTGTCATCAGCTAATGATTCAACGTGGCGGTTGTCTGTGTATGTGATGGGCGTGTGTATACGTGTGTGTGCACATGTGTGTGTATGTGGTTGCTTTGGGGGCTTACTAATGTGCCAGGCACTGTTCTAGGTCGGGAGATGCCACAGTAAACAAGACCAGGCTCCTGTACTCATGGAGATTACGAAAAGATAACCAAAAAGCAAGATAACCTCAGACAGCCCCTTGACAGTAACACTAAAACAAAGTGGTCTGATAGTGTGGCTAAGCTAAGGCTGCCTTGGCCACGGTAGTTGGGGAAATTTCTCCGAGGAAGTGCCTTTTGGGCTCCTGCTCTTTCTCTGTACAGCTCCCTTCAGCTCCCTGCGCACCAACAGAGCTTTGGGACCAGGGAGCACCCACTCTCCAGCTCCTCCATTCAGGGTGGTGGTGACTCCTTGGGGTGGGAGGCCTTCTCACCCACGCCGTCCTGTAGGCACAGCCTCTAGTCAGCCCCGGCTGATTCTGCATTGAGTCAGAGTCCTGATTTCAGATGTCGGCGAGTCAAATATGTTTTAAATCACTGCACGGGCCAAACAGAACCTAGTTGCAACCCGCTTCTGCCGTGGGCCACTCCTGTGTCCCTCCTGGTCCAGTGGAACCCCAAGTGGCAAACTATCCGCAACAGATGGGCGATGAGGAAAGGATGGGGGTGTTGGGGGCCTTGGGCATCTTTGGGGGCCAATGATGTCACGGAAGCCGGCTGTGGGTGACCTTGTGGCGTGGCCCTGGTGGCTCCTGCGTGGCCTGGGAGGAAGGCTGATGTGCCTCTTGGGTTTTCTTCCCAGTCTGAAGAAAGGAGGAGGCTGGACGAGCTGATCGAGAGTGGGAAGGAAGAAGGAATGAAGGTAAGGGTGGTGGGCCCCCGTGTGGCAGCTGAGGCCTAAGGTCAGAGGGACACTGCGTTGCTACTTTGGCCCTTCAGTGGCCACTGACTGGTCGGACTGTTAGGTCGTCACGGGGCCAAATGCCAACACCATTGTTAAGGGTACATCTCGTGAGGCTACATAAGTGGACGTTGCGCATGAAATGTTATCCCAAGGAAATGTATTTTTAGCAGTGGTAAAATACGTAACATAAAATTTGGGGCTTTCGTCATTTCAGAGCGAGCAACAAAGTGGCATTGAGCGCGTTCACGGTGTATGCAGCCGTCTCCCGTCTACGTCCAGGACCTTTTCACCCCCCCAGACGGAAACCCTGTCCCCATTAGCAGTCACACCCAGCCCCCCTCCCCGCAGCCCCTGGCACCCACCAGTCGGCTTTCTGTCTGTGGATTTGCCTGTTCTGCACACTTGACACAGACGGGATCGTAGAATAGGGAGCTGTCGTGCCTGGCTTCTCGCAGGTACCATGAGGAAGGGGAAACTTTTGAAAGGAGAAACGAATACATTTTCCCTGAACTCTGTTTTCCTGGGAAATGGCAATGCCCAAGAAACTTGCTTTTCTCTTGATAAATTTCAAACACATTTGGGTGGATGAGAGGAGAGGAACTCTGGTGGCCAGGCGGGTCTGGGCTGGGACTCAGGGGTCAGAAAGCTTCAGTCTCTACCCACCATCTAGGGAGGTCTGCACTTACGTCTGGGCCCCTGAAGCAGCTGCCTCCCACTGCGTTTATAACTGACCACAGGAGGGTCAGCTGTGGCCTGAAGGAGAGACTCCGAACCTGGGTCCTCCTCTTTCTCTGAAAAGGCCAGCTGCTTGGATTTGAGTCCGTGCCTCACTACTTCGTAGCCACATGGCCTTGGACATGGCTCTGTCTCTCTGATCCTCAGTTTTCTCACCTGCAAAATGGGGCGACACCCACCTAGCAGATTTCTCATGAGACAGTGCTTTGCAAACGGGCACAAGGTGATAGTTGTACCCCTGTGTGCATTTAATATGCATCAAACTGTACACGTAAAGTAAGTGAGTTCTACGGTGCACCTCAGGAAAGCTGTTTACACGAATGGTGCAATCCCCAGGTCCCGAGCCGGCCAAGCACGGTGGTGTCTGTGGCTGCTACGAACTAACTCTGTCCTGTCTCCGGTCACCTCCCAACAGATCGACCTCATCGATGGCAAAGGCAGGGGCGTGATCGCCACCAAGCAGTTCTCCCGGGGCGAGTTTGTGGTGGAGTACCATGGGGACCTCATCGAGATCACCGACGCAAGGAAGCGGGAGGCTCTGTACGCACAAGATCCCTCCACCGGCTGCTACATGTACTATTTCCAGTATCTTAGTAAAACCTACTGGTAAGTCCGTGAGAGCTGTGTGGCAGAGAGGACAGGCCAAGGGCACGCACACCCGATCCTGTGGCTCTGGCTACCTGTTTTGGTTTTTTTCAATGTTTTTATTGATTTCAGAGACAGGAAGGGAGAGGGAGAGAGAGAAACATCAATGATGAGAGTCACTGATCAGCTGCCTCCTGCACCCCCCTGCTGGGGATCGAGCCTGCAGCCCCGGCATGTGCCCTGACCGGGAATCTTAACTGGTGACCTCCTGGTTCATAGGTTGATGCTCAGTCTCTGAGCCACGCCGTGAAGGCTCCATCCCCTTCCTGTTTTTCACCTTTGGGTGCACCTGTGGACTAGTCATGTGACCACCGCTCCAAGGCTCACCTGGCCTCCCCCACTCAGGGCATTTGTCCAGGGCAGCTCTCGAAACCACTAGCTGCTCCATTCTCCAAATGGCCAGTGATAGTTGATTGTTTTGTTTGTTTTTTAAAATACATTACTTTTTGGAGCTGGTTTAGGTTCCCAGCGAAACTGAGCAGGGGGCACAGAGTTCGCATACTCTCTGTCCCCCCACTCGCGCAGCCTCCCCG